TAAGATTATTTAATGCTGAGAACAAAGTCTCACAAAAATATGTTGATGAAAAAATTGTTAGCAAAGCCATCGCTAGATTTTTTATGTCGCTAAAAGTGTCAGGTACTCTGTTCCAAGCACTCAAAATTTCTTGCTCATAGTTGCACTCTTCTTTATTATTCAAACGATTTCATTCCAGATTTTCAAGTTTCAACCTAAGGTTGACAAACACATGAGTCCAAATGCTACCTTGAAAATCTGCAAGTTGCATCTCTAAATCGTTAATTTGCATCCATTGGAAATCCTTTAATTCCAAAGTACTGTAAACAACTACATCCGGATACTTAATTATTTTAATGGTCTGTTCTAGGCTTCTAAATTGGTCGAATCTTTCGCTGAACTGTTCAAATAACGAGTTTACTATATTCTGGTACATAAGTATGGACTCCATTACACTCGTTGTAGTGGCCTTCTCAAAATACTTTTTTATCCGAGGAAAATACTTATAAGTTTTAGTTTCAATATCTCGCTTGAAAATTTTAAGTTTACTTTCAAAGGATTTGATGTATCCAAACATAACGTCAATACTTTTGCCAAAACCTTGTAATTTTAAGTTCAGTTCATTCATATGAACAGAGAGATCTGTAAAAAACATCAAATTGCTGACCCACTTATGATCATTGATCTGAGGAAAGTTTGCCAGATCCTTATTCTCAATAAATACCGTAATTTCTTCAAAGCACTCCACAAATCGCTCAAGTACTTTACCTCGACTCAGCCATCTCACATTACTGAACATCAGTAGTCCACTGTAGGTTGAATCAACTTCCTGTAAAAGTGCAGAAAATTCTCGCTTGTGAAGGGGTCGAGAAGCTATAAAATTCACAATTTCTGTTACAACTGACATTAAATCATTCAATTCTGAGAATCCCAATTTGGCACACAACACCTCCTGATGGATAATGCAATGAAAAGGTACAAGTGGATGTCTAATAGCGTCCATAAACAATTTCAGGAATCCCACATTTTTTCCCACCATATTTGGTGCCCCATCTGTCGTGACTGACACAATTTTAGAGATATCAATGTTCAGGTCACTGAATGTTTTTATAACAACCTTACATATTTCATTTCCTGATGTACTTATTGGCACTGATTCTAACTTTATCAACTCTTCTCTCATTGTGAGACCATCAGAATATCTAGCAATAATGGCCAACCGAGCATTTGATGTGACATCAGTAGTTTCATCAAGAGAAATCGAAAAATATTTACAACTATTTAAGTCTTGTTTTAATTGATGTTGTACATTTTTGTTAAGATCCATTATTCTGTCTTTGATAGTATTTCTACTGAGTGGTAACTCAGAAATTCTTTTAATAATATTTTTAACTTACTTTTCATATCGTGAAATAGAGCTGGTGCACATCTTAGAAATGTTTCGTTAATAAATTCTCCATCACTGAGGGCTTTTCCATGCTGAGCTATGGAGTGAGCAATACAGTAACTTGCTGATGTTAAATTTGTAGAGCATCTTACAAATTTAATGATGGAATTTGATTGACTTTTATAGAGGTGTAGCTGCCTAGAAATGTATTCCTTCCTTTCATCGATACTTTTTTTTCAAGAGCTGACAATGATTAGTTTCAAAATGTCTCTTTACATTCCACGTTCTGCTTACTACCATTTCATTACACAGTATGCGCAATGATCTGTTGTTTCTGTCGACAATCCCGTACATCTCGGTCCATATGTCTTGAAAGGGTCAGCTACTGCTACTTCCACTTCCTTTATCATTCAATCTTACTTTTTTATTTTTTTGATTCTCCATCAAAAGGCTGCAATAAATAAATAAATATAAATTATGGCGTTTTTTATAAAAGGTTGATAGGTTTCTTACCTATTAACTTTTTGCAGTGTTGTTGCACTGATTCCTAGTGCAAAACAATTCATAGATAGTATGTATAACCAACAAATATATGGTGCTGTAATCAATTATCCGACATGCAGAATGTCTCGTCGAGCACTGTTGCACTGTATATCTTTTTCTTCTAATCCTCCCACTTCTGTCTCCTAAAGAACATGGCGATCAAGTATGTCCGTTTGCCGAATGCACCCGAACGCACGGGAAGCTTACCCGAGGCACATGTTGACAATAACAAGGCCATTTCCAGAATTGGGAATTTTGTCACTAGAGTAAAAATAAAATGTCATGAGTAAAGATTAATCTCTTTATAGTGCAATTCTTAACCTTTTTATATTAATGTCAATATTGGAGCAATGTATCTTGGATGTTTTCACTATGCAACACCTATGTACATGTTTACATCCGTTTTTAGAATTGCATTATTGATCATGAGTAACGTGAGTAATAATATTACTCGAGTGATGCCCAACTCTGGCCTTTGAGAGAGACAAATATTTGAATTATGCAATTTTTTGTCTCTGTCGATGTGTGTCACCCAAAATGAGTTCGCGTGTCACCTCTGACACGCGTGTCATAGGTTCGCCATCACTGTCCTAGGGCAATGGAAACTAAGGAGAAAATAAACAAGTGGGACTACATCAAAATAAAAAGCTTCTGCACAGCAAAAGAAATCATTAACAAAACAACAAGAAAGCCTACTACATGGGAGAACATATTTGCCAATGTTATACCCGATAATGGCCTAAACTCCAAAATGTATAAGGAACGCATACCTCTTAACAAAAGGAAGTTAAACTAAATAGACACTTTTTTTTTAAAGAAGAAATGCAGGGGCTTTATTATAATCAGTATTATTCTTCAAGTTAACAATTGGTACTCATTCAGGAAACAGTATGCTTTCAGCGAGCCACAGATACATGCCAGGTGCAACTACAAGTTCATAAACATGCCCCTTGGGAAACAGCACAGGGCTCCTGCCTGCAAACCCAGGTATCAACAATGCACCTACATTTCTGTACAGAAGGTGCAAGGGTATGCACAGGCCTGACCTGCACTGCCTGCTCTCAGTGCCCTTCTGGGATGCCAACTCTGGGGTGTGGGTTGGGGGTGGGGAGCTGCTTGCTCCGTGTGCCCCACGACCACGCTGCCCACAGAGTGTGCCTCTCCAAAGCCAGCCTTGGTGTATACCAACCTCTCAGATTAAGAAATACCAGATGTGCCCATCAGCAGATGAATGGATTAGAAAACTGTGGTACATCTACACAATGGAATACTATGCTGCTGTAAAAAAGAAGGAATTCTTACCATTTGCAACAGCATGGATGGAACTGGAGAGCATTATGCTAAGTGAAATAAGTCAGTCAATGAAAGAAAAATACCACATGATCTCACTCATTTATGGATAATAAAGACCATTATAAACTGATGAACAAAAATAGATACAGAGGCAGAGCAGCATCGAACAAACTGTCAAACTACAGCGGGAAGGCTGGGGAGGGTTGGGGGGCAGGAAGGGAGGGTAAGAGATCAACCGAAGAACTTGAATGCATGCATATAAGCATAACCAATGGACATAAGACACTGGGGGGTAGGGGAGGCCGGGGGAATGTCAAGGGGCGAGGGAAGAAGGAGACATATGTAATACTCTTTGCAATACTTTAAGCAATAAAAAAAAATGAATAAAGAGACATTTTAAAGAAAAAAAAAAGAGAAATACCAGATGTGATCACATGGTACCTTGAAGGTTAGACTCCAGCTTCCGCAAGCCAGTGGGAGGAAACGACAGGGCCTTAAGAAAGCCAGGCAGGGCTTTTTCCTCAGGGGAGGGCATGGATCTGCCTAGGTCTGACTCACCCCTGCTCATCGCAGCTCTGGACTGAGAATGGCATCGCAAGGCTGGTGGCGGGCACACTGCTCACAGCGCACTGCTGGCCTGCAGCAAATGCCACTGCTGGCAAGTGGGGTGGCTGGCAGAAGGGCCCTCCCCAGGCCTCTGCTCAGGAAGATCTGAAGGAACCTTTGGCTTTTCAGAAAAGCAGGCACTCCACCCCCGAGCCAGAGAGCAGCCCAGGGCGGCTCTGGGCAGGAAACGCACAGAAAGCGGGGCCATCTGATGGGCCCAAGTGAAGGTGGGCCCAGCAAACGTGCACAGGCAGAAGGAATCTGGACAGCTGAGCCCACTGGCACACAGGCTTTTCTAGCTCTAATGGAATGTGGTGTCTCTTGTTCCCAGGGAGACAAAGGGCAGGTTCGGTCTGTTCTCTCTGCGTTCACTTCTCTCCCCATGCAGTCTGTGCTCTTTATGTGTGTCCAGAATTGGCTATCCGTCTGCCTGGCCAGTGGCCACTTCCAGAACTCAGAGACAGCTCCAGAGGTGAGTGATGACAAACACGAGTTTGTCTCGATTGCTCTGGGGCAGGCTGCCTTGATGGCGGGGCAGTGCTGGACTTGGTACCCACACTGAGATCTCCTCCTAGAGGTACTACCTTTGGGCAAACTACCTACCCTCTAATTTTTCAGCAAGATGACTCCTGGAATAACAGAGCTATCTCAGAGATGCAAACTTTTCTTTGGTCCTTCTGGGGTCGCCCTGCACAGGGACCCCTGGTCGCACAGGGAGTGACATTCAGGGTTGCTGTGGTCCATTTTAAGTCTTCTTTGATGTTTTTCTGAAACCCACCCCCGTAATGAACACCCTCATTTCTTATGCTCCCTTAGGTGTGCAGATTTGATTGTCCTAGTACTCAGAAGCATAAAACGATTGAGCTTTCCTCCTAATCTCAATCCAACCCTCGCACATTTGTGCCCCTTTGTTTTTAAGACCACAGGCCAGACGTTTAGTCAATGGCTGAAATAGTTCTAGAGCTAAACTCTGAGCAACTTCATTTTGCTCAGAACTCGGCAGGTTCTGCTAATGACCCCTCACCAAACAGGACTCCCTGGGAACAAAGTTTGGGGTCAGTTTCTAGCTTTGATTTGGAAATGTAAGGCAAAGGAAGGGCGCGTTGCTTTGCCTTAGATCTCCCACTGGAAAAGTGTTTGGAAGAAAATGCAGTTCTCATTGCCGGGGAAATACCAAATGTCGGGAACCAAATGTCGGGAACCAGGCACGGCAGGGGAGGGCGCTGGGTCCTCGTGGTCACTTGCGAGGCTGCTGGATGTGCTGGGTTCTATGGGACAGGTACTTGTCCATAGAGGCGTGGGGCTTCTGGTGAGCCACCTGGGCGGCCGCCGGGTGGAAGTCCGTGTCGCTCCGGGCGATGACACAGGAGATGTACATGGTGGGTTTAGGCGGGCTGGGCTCGGTCTCCCACTCCTCCTCATCCTTGTCTTTCTCTTCTTTGGTGTCTCCAGAATGCGGGTGTTTCTGCACGATTCGCATTCCACCAGCTTTCACAGAGGGTGGGTGTCCAGCTTTCGTCTCTTGCTTCTCCTCGGGAGGCGAAGACATGGTGCGACCAGAGCGGCTGGGATGGCAGCGGAGGTGGCGGTGGGTTGTAGGTCAGGAGGAGCCGGAGCCAGGTGGCAGCGCGCTGAGGTCCTAAATAGACACTTTTGGAAAGTGGACATAAAGAAGGCCAAAAGACATGAAAATATGCTCAAAGTCACTAATCATTAGAGAGATTCAAATCAAAACCACAATGAGATACCATCTCACAACTGTCAGAATGGCTATCATAAACAAATTGAACAAATGACAAGTGCTGGCGAGGATGTGGAGTGAAAGGAACCCTCTTGCACTGCATGTGGGAATGCAGACTGATGCAGCCACTGTGAAAAACAGTATGGAGTTTCCTCAAAAATTCAAAATGAACTGCATTTGACCCAGTGATCCCACTTCTAAGACTATATCCAAGAA